AAGTAAGGTCACATTACTGAATAAAACAGCAAGGACAAAGTTTGTTCCATTATAAACTGTAAGTACAGTGTACAGCAAGCACTGACGTGTAGCAAAAGACACATCAACCAGGGAATCGGGGGCACACTTTAAATCATTCTAACTGACATTAGAACTAGCGCAAGGCTCCGTTGGGGAATAAGAGTAAGAAGAATATGCCACAATTGGTGAATGAAGATGTACAGTGGGAGAATCCCCACTACGCTGTACAAAAATGTTCAGTTCAGGTGGGGTAGAAGAGGGAAAAATCCCCTTATGATTACAGTAACAGCTTTGATTCCAACTATCCCAGAATTCTTACACGTGGAAATGATCGGACACTCTCCACTGCTCCTATCATTGTCAGGGCCTCTCATCACTAGTTTGCAACACTGCAGGAGTGGGAAGTGTCAAGGATTTTCAAATCATTGCATCTGGAAATGTCAGAGATAAGGAAAATAATAGCTTCACATTCCTCATCAGTTCTTTGACTGTTCGAAAGGTAATCCAATTTCATCAACATAAAACAGAAAGGGATATGTGATCACTATCAAAACAACCTAGTTGGTTCGCAAGGATCCCAGATTTAAGACCAGCTATGAGATCTGCTAAACTACTTCAAGCATTGATATGAAGCAGAAGATCTGAACATTTTCAGAAACTTTCAAAAAGTACTTGCGCTGAGCGTAAGGTACAATCAAACATGTACTCCAAAAAAGGAGAAGGGAGACCTTAGAGATGCCAGATCTCACAACATAAGACAGTGTTGGTGGAATATTCAGTTTGTCTTAAAAGCTACATAAAAAGCTCCATCAGACATTTTTCCAGACCCACAAGTCAGTGCCTACTACATGGTTCCAAGGGAAGGTCTACTTGGAAAGAGAGCGAAAGGATTTCTACTCCAATCATACCAACGGATGTAAGAAAAGCTTTCAACTGTTTCTGCAGTAAAACTAAACGATCCAAATAAAATGGGGGTAATTAGACCAATTAAAACAACAAAATTACATTTGTATAGCGCCTTTCACGTCAATATATAATAATCCTTGCAATTGATACAGAGCTCTTCATGTTTGTATCAAGCTCATTATTGGCTGGCGGGCCTTCTACCACTCTGCCGCCACCCTCTAGAACTCCATCCCACAGTCCCTCCGCCTCGCCCCCTTCAAGATCCATCTCAAGACCTTGCTTTCCATCTCCCTGCCTCCTCCCTGCCCTCCACGATCCCCAGCTCGGATCCGAAACTCTTGTCTGTCCGGCGCTTTGGGACGTCCTCTCGACTTGAAAGGCGCTATGCAAATGTAATTTTGTTGTTGTTTGTATTCCTGTAGCTCAGAGGTTAGAGCACTCGTCTCGCAAGCAAGAGACCTGGGTTCCATTCCCAGCAGGGCGAAACCTTGGGCAAGTTTCCTTACACCACATGCCTGATAATAATCCCTCAAGTAAATAAATAAAATAATTTGGATGCTCAATCCACGACTGTTTGTGGGACGTAGCTATGCGCAATTGCCTGTCACGTTTCGCCCACAAATATACAGTCAATTCACTTTACATACAGTATATTCTGTGAAACGCTTTGAGACATCTAGAAGATATGAAGAGATCTTCATGGGGAGAGCGAGGCGGGGGACGTGAACCAGGCCGGAGTCCGCTGAGTGGAGGGTGCGAGCAGATTGGTAGGGGGTTAGGAGGTCGCAGAGGTAGGAGGGGGAAGACCAGGATCTTGAACTGTATCCTCTGTGTGATGGGAAGCCAGTGGAGTCGGGCGAGGATGGGGATGATAGGGTCACGGAGCATGGTGGGGGAGAGGACACGGGCTGCACAGTTCCGGATGATCTGGAAGGAGGAGTTGGGGAGGCTGACAAGCAATGAGTTTGCATAGTCAAGCCTCGATGTAATGAAAGCATGTATGAGGGTATCAGCAGCCTGCCGTGAGAGAGAGTGGCGGAGCCGCGGGATGTTGCAGAGATGGGGGAAGGCAGAGCAGGTCATGGTGCAGATGTGGAAAAAAGTAAAAGAACACAAAAGAACTGAACTGCAGATGAAAGCAAATAAATGTACATGCCTAAAAACTTAAACATGATAAAATTGAAAACTATTTCAAGAATTAGCTGGGCTAGTTTACCCTCATTATGATCAATCAAGTAATTCAAATGACTAATTTAACCATTTCATCAACTCCTTAATATAACTTTAGGGAGCGCACCCTTCTGGTCACTTAGATTTGCTTGATTTCCCTCCATTCTGAGGAATTATTTCAAAGCAGCTAAAAGCATTTGTAACCAGCAGAATTATCATTACATACAGTTCTACATAGAGGTTTCAAATCTATACACTAAGATTAAGATCTCTGATTCAGATAATGTTTCATTGATGCATCATGTAATTTGCATATTTCAGAGTTTCCTTTGAAATAACCAGTCCCTAACACATATACAGAAAATGAGAAATCTCTCCACCGTGCACACTGTGGGGTCTCCATGGGGTTGAACTGGCTCCAAGGTGGTGACGTGCCCTGTGTGGAATGTCAGAATTGAGTCAATCCTTCGTGGCAGCCAAAGTAGTCTGGTTCCTAAACCAGGCAAGTCAGTAGTATTTCAAGGCACTGTGGATGGCAGACCAGACAGTCTGAACTGTCAGCTGGACTGAAAAGAAGCAAACTCGTCACTGGGGGCAAGGATTCTTCCTACTCGGCTCCTGTTAACACTGCAATCCAAAGCTCAAACAGGTAGAAAGGTCCTACCAGGGCAAGCCGAATACTCGTTAGTCAGTGTCCACGATGGTAAGCCGTGTAGCTTTAGTTGGTTAAACTCCAGTCATACCTCAATACATACTCTGGGGTTCCCCAAATCATGGCTCTTGTTAACCTGTGACTAATTATTTTTGTGGGATTAGGTAAGAGGGTGAATCCCTCTGGGGGGTGAGTGCACACACCATTCCACACAAATGGAAATTTCCATGCATATGTGCACTCTCAACAGTTTGGTCTGGATACTCTTAAGGCAGGATGGGTTCCCATGCATCTCAGGCACCCAGCTGATGTGGAGAAAACAGCTATTCAACCAAGCTCCAATGTTCTAAGGGAAACTTGGAGGATGTCTAACTGTAGACCCTTTTGGAAGACGAATGACTACTTCCTCTTTTGTATTCAGGGCTGAACAACAGATCATTATGTGATATTACCCACAATTTAGAAGGTGTTCCTGTTGATAGCCCCTTTAACTATGGAGTCCTCTGCTAAATAGCAAAAAATGTTCAAGATGGGTCTGGATGACAATCAGAGATCAGTTGATAATGGCTGAGGACATAGTAGTACCAATGAATCTTCCAATCACGAGGGTGAACTGGTGACTCAGAACGATTAAACACCAGGCTTAGATACTGAGAGCTTCCCTTTCATGCACCAATAAACAACTAGAACCACATCTTGGGGCAGAATCTTCAGGTTATGGTTTAAAATTTACTCAGTTATCTGGCAGAACTGAAACAGGAATTGAGACTACATCTAGGTGCCTGTCCTGAGATGAATAGCAAGCTTGCAAACAGAAGAGTCGAGACAAGGTAAGTTCTTCTTTCCTTGCTCTAGAGGGCCTGGAAGCAACTATTCTCTGGGGGACTGGAGGGAGTGCATAGAGAGCATGAACATGAAAGGCGCTTTATGAATGTAATTTTGTGTGTGTTGTTTTATAGATGTAGACTCAATAGGTGCTATGTGAACACATGCAAGTGGCCATTATTCGATTTTGAGCCTGAATAGTGAATTTCAAAGGGCAAATTCAATCACAAGGGGTGTTGTACTTGAGCCTAATCTTTGCTTAACCCAACAGCTACACTGCTGCCCTTTAGTCATGTGCTACTGCATAGTGATCTGAAACAGAAACTTTGGCTCATTTTTCCCTCTCTAATCCAGGGGGGTGAGGCAGCACCCCTAGATTCATCTCAGCTAAAAACACAGGCTAACAATTGAACATAGGACAGGTATGACTCAGCAACTCACATCAAAGCATGAGGGTGTTCATCTGGCATTCTAAAAGCTCTTGCAAAAGTCCTTGTGCTACAGCCAGGATGACTTGACATTATTTGAAGCAAGTACCAGCAGAAATCAGTGTCAATGCTGGGACGGATGTCAATTCAAAAATTTAAGTAGTGGGCTGTCTGATCAAATTCTTGTGTTGAGAAAGAAGAAAATGTGGAGCGAGACTGAGTTGTTACTAAATGTACATAACACCAAAGCAAACCATTAACAAAACAAACCAGGTTTAAAACACAATGAGGTGAAGAGGTGCTGTAACAGCACTCATTTGTCTGGGAGAAAATAAAGTAAGGTAACTTGGATTATCACATGAGGAATTATATGGGTGATGTCCCCAATCGTCATAGAGTCTTAAAAACTTATTTTTCCCCCCATCAACAAGTACCATCAATAAATGTTTTAATTCCTGGCCTCCTGCTTGTCCCTCCATCGACAGGTGTACTTTCAGGGACCCCATCCTGAAGCTTTGGAACTCTCTCCCCCAATCCCTCCACCTTGTCCTTTCCTTCTCTTTTAGAGCACAACAGAAGACCTTCCTCTTCGACCGTGCTGACGGTCATCTTCTCCCTCCCACAGGCTCAGCATCAGGTTCCGCCACTGTTAAGTGCTCCGAGACTCTGCCCCAAATGAAGGGTACTATATAAATGCAAGTTGTTGTTGTTGAAATGAAATACAAAGAATTCTGAAGAAATCTGATCAAAACAAATCTCCCAAAAACAGATGGAATGAAGTTTGAAAGTCACATGGTGAAGACCAGCTACCCTTCAACTTCCTACTAATCCACAGGAGGAGAATAATAAAGAACGTTTCAGTGTCAATAGGTCACAAATTGTGGTCTGCTAAAGCATTAGATAAGTGAACTTTTCTTCAGATGAGGCTACAATACTCAGGCAATGCAGTCATAACCAGGAGATGTTGGAACAAAAATGTTAATTAATAAAATTCTTACCTCATTGTTTATATCAAAGACACCTTCCTGTATTTTTTCATAAATCTCCTTTGCCGTGTTAATAAATGCCTGAAAATAAAAGCACAAAATATGATACATTGCAGAATTCAACATGAATAAACAATTCTAAAATGGTCTACATTTCAGCCATTAGCCACATGTTTAACAAGCTCAAAAGAATTTCTAAAACATATCTTAGGAGACTGAACTGTGTAGTGTCTTAAAATACCTATTCACCCCTGGCATCCAGGTTTGAATCTAGCCTAGTTGACAGAAATAAAGTCTGTGGATCTCTGGCAGCTGCATAAGTGTAGGCAAATGCAGCTACCAATGGGCATGGAGCCACAGCTCAAAGCTGCTCACAATTCAGCACAAATTAGCACTTAAAATTTATAGTCCCAGAAGCTATAAGAAGGTTGGTGTGGGAATTGGTTCAAAAATAGACTTGTTCTGTAGGTGGTCTTTAACTGAGCTTGCAGTTAAAGCATACAATTGGGGCAGAAGAGAGATTACTCTAATGGTGCTGCAGTTCGCCCGAGAACATCTGATGCAGACCGTGGTGCCAAAGTGGAAAAACGTTCCATTCCCAAGGTCCCTTACCTAGCTCAGCACAAATATTCAAAAAGCAATTGAACACTGGAATTCAAGTGCCACAGCACTCATTTCAAGTGCCACATTCTTGTTCTGTTAATTAAGAGCCCAAAACTCAAATTGCACAATTAATTGGTTATTTTATAAGCAGCCTTGTGGATAAATGCTGAGAATGTGTACTTCTGGCAAAGTTAAATTATTACTGGACAAGTACTATTAAGAAGCTATACTATTCTGCAGAACATTGTATACCAATAACCATTTGGTTAGCATCATCTTGATTCAGTGCAGTTCAGTACATTAGTAGGGAGAAGATAGAGAAACTTTTATATGGATGGTTTAAAACATGGAAGTTGTTCAACATGAAAGTTGGTGACAGTTTTCTTATCACTTAAAGTGTTTCCACAGATTTCATGCAATATTTTGAAGGCACTAACATTATTTTTCACCCTCCACACCATTTTTGCTATTGTGACTCTGAAACAGGGAAGCCTCTATCTCATTTCCTGCTCCAAAATCTATTTCCAAAGATTGGAGGTGTTGTTTGTGCATTAAGAGCAACTCCAATGTATATTAAAATAGGATTTAATGAAAGTTATAGCAGAGATGGGAAACTGACTGGGGTTGGATGTCAATCTTTTGGTGGGCATGGTATGGACCCAAAGGCACAGGTTGCTCTTGAATTTAGCATTGTTCATGCGTCAGCCTTGGCAACAAGCATGGGCATGCTGTTCAACCACAAAGAATTGGTCCAAACTTGTGCACTTACTGGGAGGGTCAATGGACAATGATAAGAAGTGGTAATAACTGGCTGACATTCTTATTTCTGGACCAGGGAAATTAGGCCAACTGGAGTGTGTCAGCTGCTATCCTGGATGAGATGCTCAAACTCAGAATGGATAAGGAATGAGCCTGCAACGTTTCAGTCCGCAAGCTTATTGCTGCACGTGGTAATTCCTTTACCCAATAGGTCATTTGGGGTGTTCAAGCGCTTTATGAAAGTCCTTTTGTTACAGCCAAAATGCATTACCTCACAGTTGGCTACTTTGAATTGCAGTTTTAGGAATGTGGAAACCACTTTTCTGCAGTTCTTAAAAAGAGATGGGAAAGCTAGATTCTATACAAAAACAAAATTTAAGAACTTTCCAAAATGTGCATAATCTAAATTTTCAGGCAATTTTAAGGCTTAAGCCTAATACTGAGAAACACTTGCTCTTTAGTAAGGACGGGACAGGCTCAGTTGTGATGCTCCCAATTTCCAACTATCTGACCACGCTCACACAAGTAGCACCAGAAAGCTCCTACTTATGAAATCATAGCCCTGTATGAGTCACCACCTACAGGAAAAAACGGGGGATAAAAAAGGAAAGTTTCATTGCTATCACTCACATCAAAACTCAAAGCACCAGTCAAAATGGTGACTGCCAGAGATAGCAAGTTGTTGCTGGGAACAACAGATTGGGATGGTCATGAATTCAAACAAATGGTATTCCAATAAATTTGACATGCATGCGTACACAATTTTTTTTTACACAAGAATCTGACAGACATTTTCTCCAACCTTTGCCTTTTACTGACGAAACAAATGTGGAGATGTACAACTAATCAAATAGATGACTTCCCTGAAAACAATTTAAAGTCAACACTTTAATGACAGTCATACCACAGGTTAGGGTTGCACGGAAATGAAATCAGGTCATAGCAAGAATAGATTAGGACCACTACAAACAACAGTGTACCAAAGTGGAGCTTTGAAGTTGTATTTTCTGCTCAAAAATCTAACAGAAAACAAGGCCACAAAGCTAAAATCTTTTCTAGCCATCGCATACTGTAAAATGAAAGCCAGGGCCATGGTGAAAGATGTTTTTAGACTGATTGTTCATTCACAGCATAAGATTTTGAAACCAAGATTTTTTTTTCCGTTTACATTTAGTTAATTCTGTATGCTTGATAATTTTTAGTTCAACATTACAAATGCAAAACCCGGTAACCTGTTTGGATGAATGGCAAAATCTGTGGGAACTGTCAGCATCTCCTTGTATATAGGTTATGCACAAATTAATTTTGGCAAGAGTATTAAAAAAACTCAACCAAGTATGTTGTGCAGGCAGGTTTCTTGCTCGAAGATTCTGCTGATGACATACTGTAACAGTACACCAACGAAATGCCAAAGTAACCTGGACTGATCATCCCATTCCTTGTCCCTCCCTGAAGGTGAACAGCTGGCTTAAGCGGCAGTTGAAATTCGTAACTCGCAGTATTGGGAGGCTCTAACCTCCAATTGCTTTAAACACTGAAGTCATCATAGCTATGGTCAATTAAAACATTGTACTTAATATTTTTATATATTGTTACCTTTCAAGATTACTCATTTGTGCCCTTGATATCGTGAGTACTATAATTGGTGAAATGTGTGGCTCAGGTGTAGACCAAGAAGATCCCGGGGTAAATCCCAGGTCTGTGACAAGTTAAATGGGGGCACAAATGGTCTTAGCATCTTTGGACGTGGGAGAAAGGAGACAAATTAGCCAGGGTTCCAACGCCCGAGTACCAACCAGTGACCCCTGCTGGAAAGTATTGGTTTGAATCATGCAGGGACAGAATTGGGCTCCACAATGATGGCCCCTCTAGAATCTGGACTAATTTGTGAAAAATGACCACTTGTTGGGAGGCACTGGAGAACGACATGTACATGGACATACATCCTAGGCTGATTCAGTGCTTTAGAAGACAGTGTAGTGTGGCAATGGTGGTGGTGGGGGTGGGGGAGGAGAAGGGAAATTAAGCAGTTATTCTCTACCCTCCCATCACCCCAAAAAATCTACTATGCTGGCATACAACTTTTTTGCTGCCACAGGAGCTTTGTTTCCTAATTAACAGGACTGATATGTTTTCACCTATAAAGGCCTTACAACTCCCAAGAGTAATCAATTGACTGCAGCTCAATTAATGCACTAAACAAAGAAGCGCTGTCATTGAAGGCGACTTAAGCTGCTGCTGTAGACTGGAAGATATGAATATGTAAAACACTAAGTGGGTGATCGAAAAAGCATACAAGGGCCTTAAGAATTTGCCCTAAAATAATAAGCCACATTAATCATTGCGAGTTCATCGGGCGCTTTTGGGAATGAACACATTTTCAAATGACTTTGGGCTGTGAATAAGTGAATCTGGCTTCTAGCCAGGACTAAACTTAATCAAATGCTTCCACATTCCCTGGCAACTTTGTAAAAGTTAATTTAATCTATGTTTTGAATAATGTATACATTACCCCAATGACTTTACAAATTACACTAATTGGAAATTGCAGTTTCAAGTTTCATATTTTTCTGTATAGTTGGAATTCTATGCGGAGGTCCGCAAGTCATTCATTCACAGACCAACTTGAAATGTATATAGCATTATGAAGTCCCCTGACTCTGTTTTGATAAGTTTATGTACACAAGCACTTAACTACTGGTGCATATGACAGAACCCATGACATGTGTTCTTACATTATTATACATTTCATGTAAGCATGTGCCTGACAGATTTAAAAATCCAGGCCTTGCCAGAGGCAAAAACAAAAAACAGGCTTAATAATCCTGACCCAAAGGCAAAAATGATTGCATGCCTTTAGACATTAAAGAAAAACTTATATCCTTTAATTATTTCAATGTTTATAGATAAAAGCATTAAAATTATAGCACTGAAGAATGTCTAAGCTTTATCACATACATTTTAGTTTTTTTTCAAGGGAGGGTTTAGCACATAACTTTGACCTCTAAGATAGGTGTTTTTTGCCAAGTATATAGACTTGGCAAAAAAAGCACGATTAAATAGATATACTTTTACCAAATAATTCAGTATATATCATTGCTACGTCAGCACTTAATTTCAAACATTGCACGTGAGGCAGCACAGAATTTAGTAATGGTACAACATTTTGCTCGTTCAACTGCACTTTGTCTTGAGACAGTACGGACTCAATTTTTTTGGTTGCTAAATTTTCAGGTGTACAATTATTTTCAGATAATTAGGCAAAATGAGAGATGTTCAGCAACAATCTACCTAAGAGGTCAGAGTACTGCAATCTGTTACAACAGGATCACCTGAATTTCCTTTTGTTGTGAATTTTTAATTTAAGTATTCCTTATTATAATAATATCTGAATCATGTATTTATGGCTCAGCCGTTTAATACTTTTTTGAAACGTATTGAACTACAGCAGTACTCAGTATATACAGTAACAAATTACCAGCAAAAAAATTTTTTCTAGTAAAGTGTGCAGATGAGATTAATCTCATATATATATCAGTAGGATTATAGTAGGATCAGTAGGATTACATTTAACAGTAAAATAATTGCAAAATCAAATTAAGAACCTCTTAAATCCAAAATGAGGTATTATTTCCAAAATGTAAAGGCTCCAGTTTCAATTTATACTATCACTTCAACTAGTCTGGTGGTGTAAAATGGAACATCCTCCCAATGTGAAAGGCGCTTTACAAATGTAATTTGTTGTTTTTGTCTAATTTATGCAAAGAGGCTCATTATCTGTCAGGTGACTGACAGGACAATTCAAAAAAAATTGCATAATTAATAATTTTCATACAAATTTATTGACCAACAGGAGGATTATTTTACATGTTTATATTTCTACTCTTCGAGGAGAAAATAAAAAAATTGAAAGAGTAGTTTCCTTCAGTTAAAATAATTCATAATGCCATTAAGTGGAAGGAGGTAGGGCCTTGTGCAAGATTACCCACCATATCAGTTATCAAACAAGCAACCTTTTTGGAGGGGGAGGGGAGAGGAGGTTGCAAAAGAAGAGTCTTTCTGCAAATGAGAGAAAGGAAAAAGTCGACCAAGATAGCTCCACTGCTCCTTCCAGTGGCCATCCAAGAAATGGCATAGGTCACAGCATTATCAGAGAATGGTTTGTTGCCTGAGAGGGATGGAGTAAATTGAAATAATCTACATATAATTGTGCTCAATTTCTCTAAACTACAACCCTATTCAAACTTCTATATCTTCTAACACTAGCAGTTTCTCCCCAATTCCTTAACAAGCCTTTTCAATGTCCATCAGACATCAAAATACCACTTAACTTTGATGGTCAGACTCCATCTATTGACATTATTGGTCTCACTGATCCCTATGATCTCAAATGGACTTTAACTCCTTCATTACTGAAACACCTCCAAGAAGCTTTGTTTTCTCTTTCATGCCAAACGCAATTCATCTCAAAACCCAAGTCACTCTAAGAAAGGCCCCTCTGCTCTTTATAATACAATACAGTATAATTTACATTTATAGAACTAATCACCATCATTGGTTTNAAAAAAAGGTTATGCATTCTGCTCCCTGGAAAACTGTGAATGTGATCCATAGCTGACTACCATAAAATATGGGATAAGAACAGCTTTTCAGATTCTTCACTTGTCCTCTGATGCTATGAAAATTCTAAAACCTGACTGGAAAGAAGTACTTGATGATGTGAGTACTGCTGTCCAGAAAACTGATGTAACTTGAGTATCAAAGAATCATGAAGATCTAAATTCAATTAACTTTTAATTAATCCTTGCATTTGATATAGTGCCTTATCAAGTCTTCGAGACATCTCAAAGCACTTCACAGAATATATTAAGTGAATTAACTGTATATTTTGTGGGCAAACTGTAGCTAGCAATTGTGCATAATACAATACCAAATTACATTTATATAGTGCTTTTCAAGTGGGGAGCTTGCCCCAAGGCGCTGGGAACAGAGACATGTGAAATAAGGAAACTTGCCTAACATTTCGCCCTAGCTGAGAATCAAACCCAGGTCCTCTGCGAGGGGAGCACTCTAACAACTAAGTTAAAGGTCTCCACTTCGTAGCCAACTTCTACAATGATTCCCTTGAAAAGATCAAATAGCTGAAGATACACCCACACAAGGAATATTGGCCTGTGTTCAATAAGGTTCTCTAAACAAACTAAGGTCAGACAGTGCATATACAGTTGATAACTGAAATCAGAACCAAGCTTCCTGGCAACTAATTACCACAAAGAGTAAAGCAGGATTAAATATGCCAAAAGACTCAAAATAAAATCTCACCCAGTCTTAAATAGCAGGAAAAGCAACAGAAGGTTTCATTTCTTTGGCAAAACATATAGTAACCAACTTTAAATTATGCTGATCTTGCACCCCAAGCACATCTAGTCTCCACATGCAGACAGCCCATCATTTAATGAACAGTTGTGTGCTTCAGTCAGTTGAATTTATCCTCCAGAGTGTCACTGCTGAGAAATCATGTGGACAGCAGCAGCACCTGCTTTGCTTGGCCACAGTCAAGCTAACTTGTTAAGTGATCAGAGCACCCAATGTTGTGATCACAAGATTAACCTGCCAGCGTCAATCTTTAATGCTCTCAGTCTTCAAATAGCTGACCAAAATAGTTCATGAGCAATTTACTGATGCGAGAAGTCAGTTCTGATGATGTGGGACTCAGCTCTTAAAAAAGACTGTATGACCCTGCAAAACAGGTAAGCTTGAACTTAAAGTTCAAAAAGTAAAGTGAAAGTTTGATAAAAAAAACTAAAATATTAAAAATAAAAAACTTACACTTTAAACCTTGGGACATCCTCCTGACATGAAAGGCGCTATACAAATGTAATTTGTTGTTCTTCTTTAAAGGGCCTTTCACAATGCACTTGACAGAGTGGAAACTTAAACAGGTTTAAACCTAATCTGGACACAGGGCACCGAAGACTTTTAAAAAGGATTTTGAAAGCAAAGGATAGTAGAGTGAGATGGAAGTATTTGGGGGAAAGGGGAAGATCATAGCGAGTGTTTAAACATTTACATTGAAATGCTTATTTTGGTCAAATATTACAGTATTAAAGTTAGTGACATCTAAAGCTCAAAATTTTACCCTTGCCTAGTTTTTCAGACCAATTTCATTTAAACTTGTAAAAAAAATCAGAAAAAAAAGTTATTTTAATTTTTAAGAACTAAGGAAAATAACAAAATTAAAGTTTTTTTCGCACAATTCTGCATAAAACATATTTTAAAGACAAAATCGTTTTACAAACTAAGACGGTGTGAACTCTGAGCTTCTGGGTAGCAACTTTAGGGTTTATTCAGAATTGTGGAACAAGCTGAAACCTAATTTACACTGGCTTAACAGTCTTAACATACATGTTGCAGCAAGCAGGATAAAGGAATAAAAAATAAATTAACTGTGGTCATTGATATTTTTCAAAAGCAAAAGTGGAGCTTTGTATTATGGTGTCAGTCTGAATGGAATTGTTGTAGAACACTGACCTCTGCTGGTATGTTTAAAAAGGCAATGGTTCGTTTGCCAAGTTAGAAACTTTAAAAACCCACATACAATATTATGCAAAAATATGTGAAATGGAGGAAGTTCTGAAATATAAATAAGGTTATACTACAGTACTTTAAAACAAGGTTACCCTGACTTACATTTGCTCAACTGAATTTATGCCAAAATTCAAACTAATTGGCTGTTCACCTCATTGTTTATGCAACACGTTTATGGGACATTGCTGGTTTACTTTTATAACATTCACTTCATTTTTAATTTGTAAGTGCTTTGAGCTGTTTATTTTAAGTGAAAGGTGGACTATAAATGTAAGTTATTATAGTGCAACTTCATTAAAAGGCATTTCTTTATAGCATGGATTTGCATTCGTACACATGTGCCTGCCTGCTCGATGCCTGTTTTGTGGTAATATGCTGACTTCTATTTCATTTGGTCACCACCATCACTTCCTGTTTGTGCAAGAACAGCACACAATTGACGGCATCGGCAATGTGATGACAAACAAGTTAGTTTTTTTAAGCACCTGAACCAGTCAGCACACAGGGAGAAAGTAATACACATGCTCAGTGATATCACTATCTCATCTTGTTGTATGTTTTATGGATACCAACCACCAGGTTTAAAAATGGCCAATGAATTAAGCAAAGGAAAATAAAGGAATTTACCTTAAAAAAATTGGTGTGATATTCAGCCTACAAATTCACCTCAGTTCTAGTATTTTGTAAACATTTTTTTAAAGTTTAATATCCAAAAAAAATTAAAGGCAAATTTTCTTTAAAAGACAAAACTTCAGTTTTGAAGGCTTTTGTACAATCCTGGAATCAATTTGAAACCTAAAAATATGCCGTAAACATCACAAATTTCTGTAAATTGAAGCAAGAAGTTGAACTAGCAATGGTAAAAAAGCTGATGGATAGTATCGCCAATATATTATGTTGCTCATTCTCTATCTTCTTGTCTAGCCAGACTTGTATTTTGCGCCAAAAGGTAATTTTCAAACATGTTTCCTACTTTTAACCATTACATCAGTTGTGATATAGCAAATATTTCAAAAGCAATTGTCATTTTGGGTACTAAAGCATTATACTATGGTCAAGAGATATTTACAATCCAGATGGAGGGAGAAATTTTAGCAAACTGCTGGAGCAATGCTTTCTATCCAAGCTTGAACATTCCAAGTTCAGCAATCTGTTTACAGAATGTAGAGAAAAGATTACATTTATATCCCATTCCTTTGCTTAATTAATATCACCTTTCACCCCCCACCTTCCAGGAATTCATTACTTTATAAATATTTAAATAGCCATAGGGTAGGGTTAACATCTATGTGGACCTGTTGCACACTTTTCCTTCTTGAAAACGGTCTCAGTATTAGCTGCTGAAAAAACTGTTTAAATTGTACAATCATAAAGCTACATAACTTCTCGTCTCACTTCTATCAAATTTAGATTGCACTAATGACAGGGACTATATTGGTAATTGTGATTACGGTTGTGACTAAAATAATAATTGAAAACAATGCTTTAGTTGCATTCAATATAATAGACCACACTATAAATGGACTTAAGAAATAGACAGACCTCCCTACAAGCAATGCCTCTCTTCCAGAAGGAAGAACAGGGCCCAGGCCATATATTGCCAATCTTGAACTGGTACAATTTTGTGATTAACGCACACTAAATTTCAACACCCATTTGAAGTGGTACTCATCAACTGAATGAGCTTTTTCTGCTTTACCAAAGTTTGACCACACCTACTAGTACACATTTTGTACAGTTTTCTCAAATACTAAGTTATGTTACCTCTTCTACGTTGGAAGCAGTCTTTGCAGAAGTTTCCATGAAGATTAGGCCATGTTCTCTTGCAAATGCTTCCCCTTCTTCCTTTTTCACCTCCCGTCTTGACTCTAAATCACTGCAAAGTGGTAAAAATATAATATTTAGCAAAAATAGAAATTTGAAGACCAGCATTTCATAAAAGCTAAAAATCAATTCCAACAGTTTTATTCACATATGGTTTCTTGCAACCTATAGCCTTGTGATAACTTTGTCCAATAGTAATTCTTTATGAGCAAGCCGAATTAGTGGTGCCCAAAGGTTACTTGATTGTGGACAACACTAGAGAGAACTTTGAAGCTGCAAACAATACCAATGCCCCACCCAAGCCAAGAGCCATTGAAGCCAGTTTTAGCAGCTTAGATCAGCTGATTCAGACTGGAACAAAAACATTAAACTGCAACCTTTATGTACTATAACAATTCCATTGATCCTTCTAACCTTCAAATTCAGTTTTTAAAACTAAGAAATCATCTGAAAATAAAATTCAGGTTCAGTGCAATAATTACAAATAAAATGCATTTTATAGTTTTAAAACATCTGGTATATTTTCTTGGCTTCTTGTTGTACTGCAAATAAAATTAACAGAATATAACATGATTGCAGATTCATCTTGATCGTTTAACAGCTTTAATTTGCATCTGGAATGGATATATACAAATTTAGGATGTTTTTCCCAACTTGATGGTGCTTTAAGGCACATGAAATTGGTGCCACCATATTCTTAAATTTATGGATTATGATTTTAATAGGATACTCTTCCACAAATAAGCTATATTTGAAGAGGATAGAAAACAGTTGAAACACGCTTTATTTAGAGATACGTTCTCCCTTCACCACCTGTCTGAGAAAATAGTATACAGTCAGCACCCATAATATCGTGATGATGGTTGGGGTCCATGAAATGAGACCCATGCTAAAGTAGATAGCATAATAATGAAATCACCGGTCAGTACTTCCGCAAAGTTGATTCACCGACCAATTCACCGCCTCCCAAAGATCTGCTCTTCCAACTACCCTTCCCTTCCCAACTGCTCCTGTGACATTATTTGAAGAAGCCACATGCATTCTTAAGTATCACCATTCTCTCAGGCATTTGACCTGAACACAAGCCATCTAAGCGCAGAAACGTCTGCTTTTTGGCCCTCTCCCTCTGCAGCCACAAGTGAATTTTCCTGCAGTTTGGCAACAGCTACAGAACTGCACATCCTATTGCAGCAAATACACAGAAATTTAGTTCCTCCCTTCATCCCTCTGGCATATTCAATTGCCCATCATAGCACCCTGATTGTACTTTGACTAAACCCATTGCTTTTGTTTCTTTGCTGGTAATTCCAAATATCCAAATTCCAAGACCAAACATTTGGAAACGGAGCAAAAAAAAAAGCTGATTACTCATCTCTGCTCTAAATCTACTTTTCATTAGTTTTCATTAAGTTTTGGCTTTACTTTGTCCTACTGTGAAGTAACTGACTGAATTTATCACATCTGTACAAGTATACAATTAAATGGATAAGGATGATTTTTTAGCAACAATAATCCTTGCAATTTTGTAGCACCTACAATGTCAAAATGTTTCAGTATGCTGCTTGGTAATCACCGTCGAGTATTTGTAGACAAACATGGCAAGCATATTGCACACAGCAATTCAAATTTCTTAATATTTCATAGATTAGGAGGGTGAAAAAAAGGATAATCATACTTTGAATAGCAGGTCAAAACATCTCAGGGCCAATGGGAGATATGAATAATTTCTTTATCTAGCAGTTTTGTACTAACCTTCATGCTAGGCATTTAGTTTTAATTCTTACTTTTCTACGAGTTTTAATTTACAATTATTGCCATGTAACAAGATAAGAAGTACTATATATGAACTGATGGAAATGTCAGCTTGGCTCAGTTGGTAGGACTCTCGCCTTGGAGACAGATGTTGTAGGTTCAAACCCCACATAAGGACTACAAGTTTATAGTCTAGGCCAAGGTTGTCCAATACGTTAGCCACCAGCCACATGTGGTGAATTGGGAATCCAGATGTGGAAAAATTACATTTTTGATTAGTATAAAACAAATGAGTTGTTGAGCATGTGATAGTCATATTCGCAGAGTATGCATATGCTACTCTGACCTTTTTGTGCATTTGTTTAGAAGAAAAAAAGCAGTGTGTGAAAGTGTTTTGATGGTTGCATTACTTCCTTTGTTACTGCTTTTTGGCTATTTGTTAAGATGGTGTGTAACATGGGTGAAATTTTAGCACTATGGAAACGCCAGATACACAGTAAGACTGACGTGAGCTGTCAAGGGTGGTCAGCTTGACCAATCGGAATTCCCACTCCAGGTCAGAAAAAGGAATCCCAACCAATAACGTGCTGCTCCATCAGGGTAGGTCAAGACAAAGGGCAAACAGCATCCAACCCCATTCAAAATGGAGCGCAGGGATGGGTCTGGCATGCTTTGTGAAAGAAAGACTGGAATAATAATAATCCTTGCATTTGATAAGAGTGCTTTTCACATCTTCTCGACGTCCCAAAGCGCTTCACAGAATATACTGTAAAGTGAATTGACTGCATATCTGTGGGCGAACGCGACAGCCAATTGCGCTCAGCAATGTCCCACAAGCAGTCGTAGATTGAAAAATGACCAATTTATTATTTTTTTTTGTTTTGGAGGGATTATTATTAGGCGTGTGGAGTAAGGAAACTTGCCCAAGGTTTCGCCCTGCCTGGAATTGAACTCAGGTCTCAGGAAAGTGTTGCACTGAATGGTGGCAGATGTTTGGTAAGAAAAAATACATGTAAACACACTTGTGCAATACATTTACCTGTATTGTGTGAGGGTATGGAAGGCGTTTTCTAATACAATTAGTGCATGTGGCTAAACGGTGTTGTGATCTCCACACCTGTGGCTAGTCAGTGATTTCTATTTAACACTGGTCTAGACTGAGGCTCCAGTGTAGTACTGGGGTGGCATTACATTGTCAGAGGTGCAATCCTTTGGATGAGAAGTGAAACTGAGGTTCCATCTGCCTGTTCAGATCCTATTAAAGATACTATCACTTCAATGCTGTTTGTAGGATACCTTTTAAAACAAATTGGCTACCACATTCGACTACAAAAAATAATCACTACATCTTACAATAATTCCTGTGAGGCACTTTGTGACGTCTCAACCCATAATGCACTAATTATATCAAATGTAAGTATTATTATTATTATAATAAATGTAGAAGTATGCCAGACCAGCTACGTAAAAGCAGCTGTTTTTCATTTTATTGAGCTGGGTCCCTGCTTAAATACAAGAACTCAGAGACTTAGCTATTGCGAGCCTATGACAAACATGTGGTCTAACTGACCTCTCGAGATATTGTTCCGAAAGAACAAGACCAGAATGTTGAATAGTACCAGATACAGTTCAGCACTGTTATAACACACTTTGGTATATCCAACTCGTGCTTCCTGCATGCTGAATGGCCAATGTCCAAACCATCAGGTCAAGCCAATATAATTTCCTGAGTAGTACGCACACTGACATTAGTAGCAACTTAATGATCTAGAAATTGATGATTTTTTGTTAACATGAGAGCTGGCTGCACCCACATGCAGTGAAATTGGCTATTGAGACCTCATGATAATGCTGGTTGGGTTTTTATAGACTTAAAATACCATCTAATAAGGCTCTGTGTTAAGTTCTGTTCCGTTCTCTCCATGCTAACCCTAGCCTCCCATATTCTCAAATAAGTCCTGTGAAATGTAATAGCAGGTGTTAAGATAAAACACGTTAAGTTGCGCTACAAACTGAATCTCATAACAAGCAAGAAAATCTGATCTGCCTTTAGTGTTTGGTAATCTGAAAAATGTTGTTCAGAATCTGAAATCCAAGACTGGGCTCACGTTGTGCTTCACAACCCACTTGTTACATCATACCAGACTTGTCAATGCGTTTCACGCAGTCAGGTCTTGCCAACGACAAGTGCCAATGCTGAAAGGTCATTCTCTGAAATGAAAACCTTTACTGGTTGCAAAAGGAGGAAAAGCATCTCCCAAGGACCTACTGAAAATGCAGTGCAATTTATTACCACAAACTGAATTTACCAAAAGTGAAAACTCAATGGTATTCTTCAATGGGACTTCCTTGTATTGAACGGAAGAAGCATTTTACCGTGTTTATTACAGCTTTTACTATATATTGCAATCCTGTTATAATATGTTTCAGTCTAGTACAAATTTATTTAATGTGGTTGCAGTGTGGGCCTCATCCAATGCATGTGCATGCAGTTTGCACATTGTTGGCAGAGTGCTGCTTACTTGCCTTAGTAAATGATGACCATGTCAGATGAGCAAAGATAGTGGGTCATGGGATAAATGTTCTTTATAAGATGCTGGTTTGCAATTCCAAATAAATCAAGATTTCTTACCCAATAAATGAAAAATTTGCCCATCCCCAAAATTCCCCTGTGTATAATAGGTTTCATCAGCCTTCGCCCAAACTACCCCTGACCTTTTATACAATACTTTCTTCATCATTCTTGCAAGCACCATTTCTCAAATTACAAGCAATTCTGCTAAATTTACATTACAAGGATTTTAGAAGCAGAGATACTCAGTAGTTGTTTATAGAAATAAAAAGTATTTACTCTGGATTGAATTAAAACGTTACCTTTTATTTCCAATAAGCATGATGACCATGTTGGAGTTGGAATGTTGGCGAGCATCTTCTAACCAAGTTGTCAAGTGATTAAAAGTGTCCCTTCTGCAGAAAATGTTTATGGCAAGACAGAAAAGGTTTCCATTAAAGGTGCAAAAGAATACAAATTTACATTTATACAGTGTTGTTTCATTGTCCCACAGTGCTCAATGCAAGATGAAGACGGTGGGAAACAGTAAGATGTCCAACAGCTGTATGTATACCTTGTATCTTGAATGTCAATAAGGTAAGATATTAATTTTTACAAATAAATCTAATCTGACAAGGGAATTCAATGTGATATGAACTGAATAAAAACAAATTCAAAATATTTAAGTCTTAATAATTATTATTATTAACAATAGTCTTAAAATGTCTTGTAGCTAAGCTAATTTGTCTTTCTACAGAAAATTAAATTCAGCATCAGAGAAAATAAAGGAAGCGTTAACATGAATAATTAAGTGCAACATGGAAATTTTTAAAAAATGTATTTTGCAAAACTACTTTCATTTTAAAGTGTGCCTGCCCTCTTCAGGCTGGAAGACCCATGCAAAATTTTCAGAAACAAACACCTATTTGAAAGAAGTTGGGGGAAAAAATCATACAAAACTAAAGTTTAAGACATAAAAATAATTGGCTATTAAGGCAAAAAGTTACAATATTGAAACAAAGATGTATATGTGATCTAAATCAATAAAATGTTACCTTGTGATGTCATAAACTAGCAAGGCTCCAGCAGCTCCTCTGTAGTAGGATCTTGTGATGGAACGGAAAGACTCTTGCCCGGCCTAGCCACAAGAAAATAAAACAGAATGTAAAACTCCAAGTTGCGAATCACAGCAACTTTATACAGACCTAATGAACAGATATAATCAGATTTGCCTTGATATTAAAGGAGTGAGCTTCACTTATTATACAGATGATACACAACTTTAAACTTAAACCCCTTTACTACATAAACTTAAACCCCATTACTACAGAAAATAATAATCCTTGCATTTGATGTAGCCCCTTATCACGTCATCGAGATGTGTCAAAGTGCTTCACATGACCGTGAAGTGATTGACTGTTTATGGAGAAAACAAATTACGGATATAAAAAGTGAAAACAAGGAAAAACTACATTTTAAATAACTGTTACAATTCATCCACAAAAACTGTTATAAATATTTGAATTATATGGATATCCAATATCTGGCAACAAAGATTTCCGAAAACAAGATGTTATTTGTACCTATTTGATCATATACTCACAGATCATTCAGCAGTTATTGGAATGCAAAACTTTGACAAATTGTTCATTGCAAGTGGAAGAAAGAGGAAAAAAACTCACTGTATCCCAGATCTGAAGTTTGATTTGCTTTCCATCAATGGTAATCATCCGAGCCCCAAATTCTACACCTGCATGTTGAAATTTGAAAGTTGAGAATCGAGTGGGTCCAGTTTTGTGAGAAACCATTCATATGAATGGTCAGGGTTTCTACATACATACATGTATTGTTTGCAAGAAAAGCAAATCAGAAATTAGCCAGAAACCTATTTTAGGTTTTCCATTATTGTGCATTCATTGTTCTTGAACAGCCCAAACAATGCAAAATGATGGGCAACGCACATGTAATATGTACCATAAAACTGAACAATGGTCACACCTAAGAGTACATCTTATGGATTTGTGAGATTTACAATTGAATGGCTGCAGATAACAGACCAAAAAGCTAGAACTGGATGGAAAATTGTACTAGCTGCAATTAAGAAATGAGCAGGTATGCAATATAGAAATGGAACATAGTTAATTGGAATATTTGTTCAAGAAACAATTGTTTTCCATATATTCCACACTTAATCTCCAGATTAGGAGATTTTAATACATATAAAGTTAAATTACTCTATTATCACAAGATTCCCCCCACACCCCCTCACCCACCCACCCCCCAACATTGGGGAAGGAAAGTGAGGTTAAAAAGAAGACTTCAATAGAAGATTGCAAAATAATGAGAAGGCAGAAAAAATGTTTCAGAAGTGATCAATGCTTACTTGGGTTTGTTACTGAACTACTAGAATTGTTTCCAAAGAAAACTAGTATCTGAGGAAATGGATTTATGATATTTGGTTAAATTGACGAATTTTAAATTTACCTTTCGATGTATGAAGCACAATACAGGACAGCCCAGTTATAACGCGGTGTCTTGTGTGCCAAAAATAAATCAGACTAGTCCAAGAAAAAAAAACTACTTCCAAGTTGCTGCTTGTTGCGATTAGTTGGGACTAACTGACTTCCTGTGCAACTGTTTTTGTCAGAGAAGACATACAGTTCTCTTCGACTGTGCCTTCAGCTCCCCTCTCGACTCTCTACCCCCTCCTCGTTCCCTCCCTTCCCTCCCCTCACCCTGACCATTTCCCCCCTGCTCGGGTCCCGACCCAACTGTCCAGCGTCTTGGGACGTCCTACCGACGTGAAAGGCGCTCTATAAATGAAATCTTGTTGTTGTTGTTGTATAGTGAAACTTACATAAGTTGTATAAGTCAGGACCTTAATATTTAATACAATTTACACAAAGCATGAGATACAGGCAAACTTGTATAAAGTGTATAAAATCCTATTTAATCAATAATCTACACTGCGCATGCGTATTTCAATGCAGACGGTAACTGCACATTCGACGACAGGTCAGAACTTAATTTCCCACAATGCAATAAAGCCAGTAAGTTAGGAAATAATTTGCTTTATAAGTTACGACTTGTACAAAGAAATCAAGGTGTTTTTGTTCATAGGAAATTGAATGGGACTCGGGTACATGTACGACTTAAGCAACTGTACATTTTAAAGACTTGCGAGTTTTACTGTATGAGTGAACTTGCGCTCTAGCAAGGCTTTTTATAAAGGGGTTGCACTGTATGTAAATAATTTTTAAATATACATTCGCCAAATGTAAAACAGTATTTTAATTTCACTAAATTATGATTAATAAGGTAATGAAATAAGTCCTACTTGATGCAGTGGTTAAACTTTGATGTAAAATTCTGAGTTTTGGAACTTTTTGAATACTTACCAATGGTAAGATCGTGAACAGGTTGGAATCTCTTGTCTGTAAACTGTAATAATAAACATGACTTCCCTACTCCTGGAAAAAAAATAAAACTTCTATTAGTGTCCAATAATCATTGATTCCTCCTTTTTGCACCCCCCACCCCGGCCCAAAAAATGCCTATGTAAATGTTAGTGCCCCAACTGACATAAGATAACCTCAGCATAAGCCAGAAACAAAACCCTGTAAAATTTGTTTAGCCTAATGCCATGGTGGTGCTTTTTTCTACAAGATCACTGAAAAGGCTTTGTTATCTTGCAATTTAAATATTAAAAATTATACAACACAGCTAAACCTTTAAAAGCACTCAGGCAACAATTATACTGTATATAGCAGAGCAAATTGAAGGATTAACATTTAGATTTGTTAACTCAGATTCTCTAAAAACAATATTGCATTAACATAAGACTGAACAGCTCAGAACAGGCCATTTGGGCCAACCAGTCCTTGCTGATGTATCCACTCCATACGATTCTCCATCCACTCCTGGCTTCCTCCCATAGTCTTCTCCAGTATCAGTAAAGGCCATAAAAGCAATTTAAACCATGAAATACAAAGCTGGGTATATTTTCAGTATTTCGTTTTCTTGAAAAAAGTGAAAATTCAGGGGAAAATGTCTGTTACAGAAATTAGTAAATATTTGCTACTGATTTGCTTCCCCCCACACCCCCCCATTAAAGTCAGTGAAAGAACATCTAAGATGATCTCAGCACGTCAAATAGTCCCTTCACTCAAAGCATAAGCAACAAAAGCAAACTTCTGTCACACAGCAACATCAAGTGGTGGCCAATCTCAAAATAGTGTAGATTTATGCTATAAATCTAGGCTATTTTGTTATTTCTATTATTATTTTATTGGTCAACCAAAAAGGTTGATCACCACTAAGCTACGTAATAATTTGTTTATGTTTGCCTACAAAATAGTCATTCATTCCACGTTACAATACATCCTGAAGTGTTTTGAGACTTCTTCTCAATGTGAAAGGTGCTATATCAAATTTAAGGATTAGTATTGTACATCCTGAAATGTGTCATGTATATATGTCATCTATATACAGTCGCTGGATTCAGAGGCCAACTGTGAACGTGTGATTTGCACATCAAACAGTAGGGGTATGATATGCGCATCCCAGGAGAAAAAAAGCTGATTTAAAAAACATTGAAGATCAAGTTTACTGACTATCAAAACAAAATACAGATATTAATGGTGCAAATTGGTAAAAACTGATTTTTAAAAGTCCCAAACCATGAGGCTGGTGGTACACTTCTATTCGTATTCCTGAGCTTGTTCAGTAAGGTAAACAATCTTTCCTTTGCACTGCCTCAGTGAATAAAGCAAAACCAAACACAATCATTAACGAAACACAATCATTAACCACATTATTGATTGCCTTGTCAGAATTAGGTTTATCCACATCACACTTTATTCTATTTACTGAAATACGGTAGATACTTTACAAAATGGTCACTAAGTACTACAAGTATAAAATGAGCAGTCTTAGAAATGTACCTTTGGCTAATATGTTGTCATCTACATATAGAGTCATTATGATAGTTACAACCACCAGATACAATATCTAGGCGTACAGCATCCATGATAAAGTAATACCAACATAATGATTAACAGAATAAGCCAAAGCTACTGTACTTGGATATATTAATCAACTCTAATGCCTCGTTCACTTTATGGTTTTGTGGGACACTGGTGTGCAAATTAGCTGCTGCATTTGCCTACAAAGTCACTGTATGGTTGCACTTGAACATTGGTGTGCAACCGGAATAAAAATCCACACTTCTACTTCCTTACTCTAAAGGTTGGAATGAGATTTGAATCGCAAAACTTTCTGAATACATAGCCTGTATATCAGCCTTAGGGATCAGTACTCTTGCCACTGGAGTCAGAAGATTGTGGCTTCAAACTCTCTTTGAAGTCATATTGTCGAGGCTGTCACTCCAATGCAGTGCTGGGTGTGTGCTGCAATGTTAGATGTGCTATCCTTGAGATGAGTCATTGAACCAAGGACCGGTCATCCCATTCGGCTGTATGTAAAGATCGTTAGGCACTAATTCAAATAGAGAAGGGAGTTACTCCCAGTGTAATAGCCAAATATACTGTAAAATAAAACTGTTCATTCATTTTGGAGTCCTGTAGCTCAGTGGTTAGAGCATTCGCTTTGCAAGTGAGAGACCTGAGTTCAATTCCAGGCAGAGGGCGAAACCTTGGGCAAGTTTCCTTACTCCACACAGAGCCTAATAATAATCCCTTCAAAAACAATAATTAATTGGTCATTTTCAATCTACGACTGTTTGTGGGACATTGCTGTGCGCAATTGGCTGCCGCGTTCGCCCACAAATATACAGTCAATTCACTTTGCAGTATGTTCTGTGAAGCGCTTTGGGACGTCCTCCCGACGTGAAAAGCGCTATATCAAATGCAAGGATTATTATTATTATTATTTTATGGCTGTTTGTAGGACACTGCTGTGTGCAAATTAGCTGCTACATTTGCCTACAAAATCGCTACACTTCACAAGAACTTATGTGAAGCGCTTTAATATGTTGTCCTGACATGAAAGACGCTACACCAAAGGCAAGGTTTATTATGAACATTGATGCAGCTTTCAGCAGTTAAAATTAAATTTCCATCACTTATTTTGAATCAGGTTTTGAGCTTCTAAAGATAATGCTGGCATAATACAGCTTGGATTGATTCATAAAAATGGTCATCTCGGGCAATTATCAATCATATGGAGAGCCTGGCAAAACAAACTATTTATTCCCCTCTAAAATATTGACTTATCTTCTATTACATATGAAATTTATTGTTAATTGGCTCCAAGATGTGAAGGATGTAGAAGAGCAAAACATCCCATAAAGGTTAGATAAAAGGCAACAAATTGCATTTGTATAGTATCCTTCAATGTGGGATACATAAGGTCTGGGGGAGTGCTTAATAATGATGGGTCGAACATCAAGCAGTCGAAGAGGTAAGTTTAAATGCTGGATTACAAAATACTCCTTAAAAAAGAACATTTAAGCAAAAGCATTACATGTGCTAGCTGATGTGTACTTTGTATCAATGGACTTTAATTCCATAATTTCTAGTCAGCAGCTCAATGCAGGTGAACAGCAATGTGATATGTCCAAATGATCGTGGTATGAACCCATGGTAATTGGCAATCACAATTTATCATCCACTACCCAGCAAAAACACAATACTTGTTATAAGCAATGTTTCCCCTTTAAATCCCGCACCTGTGGACAATTAAGCAAATCAAAAGGAGGCCATGATATCTTGACAATCAATGCTAATATGACAGCAATTTTTATAATAATAATAATCCTTGCATTTGATACAGAGCTTTTCACGTCGGGAGGACGTCCCAAAGCGCTTCACAGAACACACTGTAAAGTGAATTGACTGTATATTTGTGGGCGAACGCGGCAGCCAATTGCGCACAGCAATGTCCCACAAACAGTCGTAGATTGAAAATGACCAATTTATTATTGTTTTTGGTTTTGGAGGGATTATTATTAGACGTGTGGAGTAAGGAAACTTGCCCAAGGTTTCGCCCTCTGCCTGGAATTGAACTCAGGTCTCTCACTTGCAAAGCGAGTGCTCTCACCACTGAGCTACAGGACTCCATTATGGGGGCAATACAAAAGGAAACTGCTTAAATGCAACTGCATATCACCCAAGAGATGAATCATTCTAAATCTAGAGGCAGAATCCACTTCTTTCAGTTTGCTGTCCCAAAAGTACATTATGCATTGTATAATCCTTATAACAGAACTAACTACGAATTCCACTATTTCTAAAATCGACCAGTAGTAATATTAAGTCACTTGAACCATAGAAATCACCATGACAAACATTTTCTATGATTCACCCATCCTGACATTACTGAAAGATCAGAAATGAAACCAACCAGTGGGGTATTATGGAAGCTATATTAAACCAACTGGACATGTACGGGTTTAAAGTTGAACTTTTTTCAAAATAAAGAATGATACAATTTTTACAAACAATGTTCTCATAAACCTGTAACAAGTCTCACATCCCTTCAGATCAACTGCACTGAACAGATCTGACATTAGCATTACAGGCTGTGAAACTGGGAAACCGGTTATTGAACAGGAAACTGGCTGCTTAGATTATTTACATTGCAAATAGCAAACTTGGACATGTAATGAAAACGTTTAAATTGAACACTCTTAGATGGACAGTACTGCATAATTGTAATGTTACTACCAATATAAAAAAAACTATTTTTAAGTGCACACTGTCATACCTCTTTCTCTCCGCCTCAGCGTCAAACTACATCGTTGTTAAGCGTTCCAATGTGCTACTTCGCACGATGGATGCTATACAAATGCAACTTTCTGGCTGATTTATGTATAGTTATGTAAACATTTTAGTCCATATTCATTCAATATTCATTGAACTCTTACCCCATTATGCATCTGAAAAGTATTTATTTAATAATAACTCTGCATCTGAAAAGTACTTATTTAAAAAATCCAATCAATGATTAAATTTGATTTTGGATCTATATAATATAATAAATAATCCTTGAATTTGATGTAGCGCTTTTCACGTCTTCTCGACATCTCAAAGCACTTCACAGAAGACTGTAAAGTGAATTGACTGTATATTTGTGGGCAAAACGCGGCGGCTAATTGCGCACAGCAGTGTCCCACAAACAGTCATAGATTGAAAATGACCAATTTATTTTTGTTTTGGAGGGATTATTATTAGGCGTGTGGAGTAAGGAAGCTTGCCCAAGGTTTCGCCCTGCCGGGAAATGAACCCAGGTGTCTCGCTTGGAAGGCAAGTGCTCTAACCACTGAGCTACAGGACTCCACAATCTAATGTTAGTTCATTTACTTCAACCTCGGTCTTGGGATGTAAGAAACAATGCAGGACCAGCATTGATTGCTGAGCCCCAGTTCCCCTATGAAGGTGGTGGTGGGCCTGTTCTGCAGTTCTTGTGGCGATGGAGCTGCCACAATGAGCATTCGACTCTCTCTGGCCTT